TAAGGTGTACTTAGTTTTTCACATATGGCTTCTCCATTTTTGCTTTTTTTTTTTAAAATAAATGATTACATGGGGTAATATATTATGTGTTGTTGTTTATCTGAGGTTGTATTTACCTACTTTTGAGAACTGCTAAGGGCCAGATGATTTTTATTATGTAAAACCATAGAACCCAAAGAGGGTGTACTTTCTTTTTCCCACAACTGTAAATGCTTTCATACAATATATTTTGTATGACTGATTAAGAGACTATTTCATCAAGGTGACTTATCAGTCCATCAAAAAAAAAAATCTCACCTGCATTTGAACAAATGATGTCTTGAGAATTCTTGCACATTTCATTGCTTTTCCTCCGTGTAAAATTGCAGATAGTTGGGTACTGACAAGCATCACCATACCAACCTTCTTCACATTTGCACTTTCCACAGTCACACTTTCCATGGCCTAGATAAGTAGTTAAAGAAGGTTAAAGCTTACATATATTTTCATATTTACTTCCTCTAAAAAAAGAGTTCCTTGCACCAAGTAATAGATTTTTGTTCTATTAATGACATTAGTAATAATTTTCCTTAACTATAGTCTATTTATATGCAACTTGGAAGAGGGTGTTGAGTTTATTATGCAATCTTATTGCTCAAAATGGTTTGAGTAGCACATTCATGAAATAAAAGAACCTGATAGCATTTTTATCATATATATGAATCCTGAGTTTCATTTAAGATTACCTTTTCAATTGCTTCCTGCTTTAAAAAGAAGAGGAAGGAAAATAAATTGTTTAGATAAAGGTTACTTGTGAAAAAGTATATCACATTGTCTTTTCTGTTATACTTTTATGTTGCTCTCAGTGATATCCTATAGTTCCCTCTTTAATTTTAGTGATTATCTTACTAACATTGTCAATGATGACTATAATTTGAACAAATTGATACAGGTGGGCTCTCTCTTAAACAGATCTGACTCTACCTTGGAAGTCAGCTAGCTACTTGGCAGATGTTTTTCTTTGTACCATATGCCTTCATAAAATCAGGCGAACAGCTCTCTAGTAACACATACATTCAAGTGCAGAAAACATTTCAGAGATGGAAAAAGCCAGGATATTTTTTTTTTTCTGATGAGGGCTACATTTCTTCAAGGATAATCTGTTGGGGGGGGGGGGCAAATGATTATCAAGGCTGAAACAAGCAGTGAGTGCGTCCAGAGCTAAAAAGTGGTGGGCACTTCCATTATCTTTCAGATCCCCTTATTTCCTGAAATGATATAACTCCTCTTTCTTTCTCAAACAGCAGCTTCAGGAAAGAGACCAACAGTCCTTTTTAGATATCTGAATCGATCTCCTTCATAAGAGGTTTGAAATTTCACAGAAGGCCACATGATGTTAAGTTGAAGGCTGTGCTCTAGAACCAGAGGGACCACCTGTGCAACCAGGAACCAGGAGATGGAGGCCAGCTGTACAAATATAACATCCCTCTGCTACTTGGCTACATATCCATAGTGCTGGGCACAGAGAGACCTCATGGGACTTTTCCTAAATTGCACAGGCAACAAAGGGCACACAGATGATTTTTCACAAAAGAATCAATCTGACATGATTTCTGCTTCATTGGTTGTCAGTCACCTGGACCAAATCAATATGGATTCATTTCACTCATTTTACTTTTAAATAAAATAAAATAAATACATCTTCCACTTAATCTATTTTTTAATGAAATAAAAATAGTCAGTTTAGACTTTCTGTCTTCCTGTGTCTATTATGAAATATGAATTTCTGTTGACCGGAAAAAAATCTTCAGGAAAAGTGTGGGGGATATTTTTCCCTTGTTCTTTAAATGCCAGTTTAGCAGCCTACCCTTCATAATCTCCTTTAGCCTGGTAACCAGGCAGCCTTAATCCCTATAGCCAAAGGAAATAAGCATCAACAGAAAAAAAAAATATTGCAAAATAATATGTTCTAAAATAATGTTAAAAACCTATAATAACCTGCTGCAACATAAACTTGGACTGGCCACAGATTTCATTCAAATAAATAACTACAAAATTACTCCTCCTGCATTATGATCCAGATGAAAATCACATCCAACATCTGTTTCATAAATTGCTATTATTTTGTACTAATTATTTCTTCTCTGCTTCCTACACTTTACCATTCTCACTCCCTCCATCCTCACAACTTTTCCAATTTATAACTTCATGCATATGATGAAGTGGACTGTAAACCACAAAAGCTTATGACATAACAAATATATTAATCTTTAAAATGTCACAGGTGTCTTTCAGGTTAGGTCATACTCAAATGTTCACTGGTTCTCCACCAGATTTCTAGAAGGACATGCAGCACCTTCATATTCATGCAGCAAGATGGAAAGAGGAAAGAAAAAGAATTTCTACATGTTACTGCAGTGGCAAAATGAGATCCCAGTCCAGAAGGTATATCAGTTTTAAACACAGATTTCCTCTCACTCCTTCTCTCTCCTTTGTGTGTGTGTGTACATGCCTTAAGGTCAGCTTTTTGACTCCTGGCAACTGCCTGGGCTAGTCCCTGCAGTTTTCTTGGCAAGGTTTTCGGAAGTGGCTTGCCATTGCCTCCTCTTTAGGGCTGAGAGAGAGTGACTGGCCCAAGGTCACCCAGCTGGCTTTGTGCCCAAGACGGGACTAGAACTCACAGTCTCCCAGCTTTTAGCCTGATGCTTTAACCAATACACCAAACTGGCTTTCTCCTTATCTCTTATACATCAGCTAATTGAACCTTTGCAAGTCTATATACTCTATATAGAAATAATAGTTGCATTTAAATACCTTTTATATTTACAATGAATTTAATCCTCCTGTCTTATGAAAGAAAACAAAATGCCCAATAAAGTTTTACCAATTCAAAGCAACACCCAAAATTAAGAAAATTGAATTGTTTCAAAAAGGACTCTTTTGCTAAACTTCAGTATTTCAGAAACGTGAAAATCTAAGACAGGGCCAGGAAATGAGATGGCACCATTTTCCTCTAATATGTAGATAAAGCATGATGATTATTCATTTCTATGGCTCATCTTTTAAGAGCTGCAAGCAACCAAAAAACCACTTTTCAATAAAACTCAATAAATGGGCCAATGGCCACATTTATGAATTACACATATATTAAAATCCACTGAATGTTCAGGAGACATGTGAAAGAACTTGAAATATGGAATTCCTTTCTGGAGCCTACAGGGATAAAAATAAATAAATTCAGCTGTCACGGTGATTAAATTGGGCTCATTAAAAAAATATAGACCACAGAATAATTCAAAAACAGTTTATTTGAATCTGAAAGCGCTATGTGGAATTGCTTAAGAAATCACTTGTGGTTGATCCTCTCTCAAATGACAGAGGATTTAGAAGTCAAGAAAGAAAATGAGAGAATGGGAGAGTTCTGAAATTATTGTCTAGATTGTTGGAGAGGATAAAGCATCATTACACAGCTCCAAGGAATTTCAAAATAATCATCTGTTTTATACCCTGCCTGCACAAAAGGAGTGTTATTCAGTTCACATATACATACAGTATATGCCCATACAACATATGTACACATGCTCTAATCTGAAGCTACTGCAGGGCTCAGAAAGTAGTTCCTACAGAATTGGCATCTTCTTATTTTTCTATACCAGTAGAGTGGCTACTTACGTCACGCCAAAGGAGGATATGCATCACCTCCCAAAAGACAAAGAAGATCACAGCTTTGCCTGCAATTGCAGATAAGAATCTGTAGATATATTGATGCACATGTAGAAATGAGAGGAGGTTAGATGGCCCACTGAGAGTTTTTTGTTGATTGTTTTGTTTGGGTATATCCTTGGCGACCATTGTTGGCTTTTACCTGTTATTGATATTGGATTTTTTACTATTGCTTTTACCATGTTGTTAGCTGCCCAGAGTCACATTTGTGAGGTGGGCAGATATATATATATATATATGTGTGTGTGTGTGTGTGTGTGTGTGTGTGTGTGTAAATAAAATAATTAACATTAATAGAAATGCAATGCAACCCACCATAGGGGGGAGGCTATGACCAGGGGATCTGAGTGACCCTTTCATCTGCTATCCAGAAACTGTTTAACTAACTAACTAACAATACGTTCTCTCGTCTGATGTTTCTTTATTTTAAACTGAACTTGTACAAGATGGATTGATTATGCGCCATCAAATTGTTTTTGACTCCTAGCAATCACACAGATAGATTTTTGTCAATCATTTTATAATTTTCTATCCATCTGGTTTTCTTGGTCAAAACACTTTACCAAAAACAAATTAAGCTCAGACTAAGTCATTTTATAATTTTCTATCCATCTGGTTTTCTTGGTCAAAACACTTTACCAAAAACAAATTAAGCTCAGACTAAGTCATTTTATAATTTTCTATCCATCTGGTTTTCTTGGTCAAAACACTTTACCAAAAACAAATTAAGCTCAGACTAGACTCCTAGCAATCACACAGATAGATTTTTGTCAATCATTTTATAATTTTCTATCCATCTGGTTTTCTTGGTCAAAACACTTTACCAAAAACAAATTAAGCTCAGACTAGACTCCTAGCAATCACACAGATAGATTTTTGTCAATCATTTTATAATTTTCTATCCATCTGGTTTTCTTGGTCAAAACACTTTACCAAAAACAAATTAAGCTCAGACTAGACTCCTAGCAATCACACAGATAGATTTTTGTCAATCATTTTATAATTTTCTATCCATCTGGTTTTCTTGGTCAAAACACTTTACCAAAAACAAATTAAGCTCAGACTAGACTCCTAGCAATCACACAGATAGATTTTTGTCAATCATTTTATAATTTTCTATCCATCTGGTTTTCTTGGTCAAACCACTTGACCAAAAAATAAATAAGATCACACTTTCAGCAATCATTTTATAATTTTCTATCCATCTGGTTTTCTTGGTCAAACCACTTGACCAAAAAATAAATAAGATCACACTTTCAGCAATCATTTTATAATTTTCTATCCATCTGGTTTTCTTGGTCAAAACACTTTACCAAAAACAAATTAAGCTCAGACTAAAAGTAGAATTTACTATATCTTGTGGCAATGAATTCTATGCATTTTTTATTTAATGTGTGAAAGAGCACATCCCCCCCCAAACACATACACCATATTGAAATATTACCTATCAAATGTTTTAGATTCATGGTTTATAAAGAGTGGACAAAATAGGGTAGAGTACTATTCCATTTCTTTTCAGACAGAATTATAACAATTCAATTTCTTTTGGGGTATACATCACCACCCAATCTTTCAATATTGAACCAGTTTTGTCTTTAACTAAATGCATTTAGAAGCTCCTTCTAAATATAATACCTCTTTGTGGAGAAGCAAATGCCTGCAGAGACATTATGAATGGGGCCTGCATGCATGCTTATAACCATTCCATAATTTATGCCAGTGATAGATCTGCAGCACCCAAC